TATATATTTTTTTTTTCTCTCTATTTTATCTTTTAATTCTAAGAAGTTACTACATAATCCAATGAAAAAAAAATTAAAAGAAAAAATAGAGACGAAAGCGATTATTTAAAAACACATTTCTTTATTAATAGTTATAAATAATATATTAATTAAAAATAAGGTTTGTAAGATGCTTGCAGCACTGGACGATAATGCGCATAAACCGAGTTTTTATAATTTATATTTTTTTAACGAGTTTACATTTATTTAATTTATATGGTGGTGCTTTGCAATGCTTCTTTGTTTTTATAATACACAAGAATTTTCTTTTTGGGTGGAAAATGGGAAGAAAGAGGATTCTACATTTTATTAATTTATTAATTCTATCTTGAAGAGATTCATAATTTTACCGTTACAAATTGTACTATTATAAATTTGTCTTTATCTTAGGAACAAGTTGTAAGATGCCTAATTGTTTAAGAGATTTGAATTTGCAATACATTTCAAAATTTAATTAATTATTTATCGCAGCTTTTGAAAATAAAGAATTTTAGTGTCACTCACTGCAAATTTGCCTTGTTGCCTGACATGTTGCGGATGGAAGTATCCGAGACAAGTCAAATATATTTTATGCAAAGCAATATGATTATAAAATGTTTTTCAATACCACCAAAAGCACTTTCTTGTTTTGTACGGTTATCTTCTCTCTCTACATAATCAAGCTTAAAATACTGATTTTTTTAAATGAAAATTTTAGTTTAACACAATACATAATTTTATGTAAAGTCAAAATTAATCATTAAATTCTTTAATTATTAATTTAAACAACAGTTTTATAATATAAAAAGTTAGAATCATTAGAACTAGTGTAGTAATTTGGGAAGGGAAAGGAAAGGAAAAAGGAGTTAGAGTAATCAACATATTAAGATTTTAGTCCCATTTTTGTTGTGATGATCTTTATATATATATATATATTTTTTATTATTTTAAAAAATAATATAAATAATTTTAAATACGTCATATATATTGATTATAGATGAAATCCTTATCATATGTCTAAGAAATAAGACTATCTAATAACTATGTCACAATTTATTAGTAAAAAATATGTCTTAAATTATTCTGATAATTAATTATTATAACTTTTAATTAGTTTATTTTTAAAATTTAATATAATTTCTAAATATATGTAAAAAAAATTGATGACTATCCATCCATATAGTAAAATTGTTTTGAATTGTCTCCATAATATTAAATAATTTTTAAATAATTTTGTAAAAGTAAATAAATTTAATGTACATGACAATTTTTGATTGAATGTTTATATTGTTGGTATATAGAGCAACTTCTTATATATAATTTTTTTTATTTTTATTTGGGTTCTCCTTTTAAGATACACATAAATACTTATAGATTAAAAATAAGTAATAGGAAGGAGTATATGAACAAATAAAAATAAGATATTTAAAATAAAGAATCAAGTGAAATAAAAAAGCCTAAAATATTTATAGAAACCCAAATTATATATAAGGCTAAAATCTAAAAAGGATTCCTTTGTAACACTCATGGGGGTGATTTGTGAATAGAATATAAGAGGTGATTTGAAATGAAGTAAGGATGAGAAAATGGTGTGGTAGTGGAGTCGCAGGAGATGGTGGGGTTCCTATAAGAGAACAATATTCAGCAGAATAAGAACAAGGAGAACAAGTTATGGGATTTGATGACACAGTCCAATCAATCCATCCAATTCTCATATATTATTCTTGTAATTAGATTATCTGGGCCTTATGCTCCCATGTCGGGCCAAGAGATCCACCTCAGCCCCACTAATGGGTTTGGTCCATATTAGAAAAAGGTACTAAATACGATGAAAGAAAGAAACAAAAGTAAAGATATAAAGTAAGTGTAAAAAAGTGTGCTTTTTCAATTTTTGAAGCCACTGGCCGAACCCATACCACAAAATCATCTTGGAGTAGGGGATAGACCTGCACGAACAAGAAATTTATGTATAATTCTATTTTCTTCAAAAATAAGAAATTAATCTTATTATTATACTTTTGCATGCCTATTAACTCGAGCAAAGACCCTCTACATTTATTTTTCTTTTAACTTTTTTCATTACTAAACTTTTGAGAACATAAGTGTTATTATCCCTAAAATATGTATTATCTTTATTTTATTTATTTTGTTAAAAGTTTAGAAAATGAAATAAATGGACAAGAAAGGAGATGAAAATCGGAAGATCTAAATTCATAAACAATGGCTCACGAGGAACATGATAAGTTGAAAAAAAAAAATACTTTCACTTGGGTATTCTAATGGCTTCAAAACCAAGTATGGGCGACATTTGGATTGGCATAAACTTTTTTTTCTTTTTTTTCTGTGGATGGTATTAATACAAAATACCCTAGTGACTAATCTCTATTAAGAATCATAAGTACATACAAAATAAATATTCTCTTTCCGACACAATCTATTTTATATTCCAAAAAAGTCGGAATTCAAAAACATCAACTAAAATGGTACTCTCTCCGTTTTTTTTTATAGTCGTTTTGTCAGAGTTTGTTATTTTTTTTTCATTGTCATATTACTAAAATCAATGAGTTATTAATTTTTTTCTTCCATTTTTACCCTTAATAATTAATACATGTTTCCTGAATAATGTGTGTATTTATTTTTAATGTCTATCTAATTTTTCTCTAACTACTCATATAAAGTTAATATGCATTTATAAGAGCAATATGTTCCCAATAAAAACTATAAAAAAAAAACAAAAAAAAGAGACAACTATTTAATGGAGTAATTCAACAGTCTAAAAAAATACAACAAAAAAAAGAGTAAAATAGGAAAGTAAGTAATAAATATTTTTGAAAACTAAAATATTAATTATTTTCTTAAATCCCGTGCAAAACCTTAAACGACTATGAAAAAAAAACGGAGGGAGTACTAATCAATGTTGATTCGACATAAACATTTTCCAGGGGCCCAACAACAAATTCTTCTTTCAGTACCATCAAACATTTAATAAATTTTCAAATATTTAATACAACAGCTTTAAAAACACGCCACTATATATTATTCCCATCACGGTACCATAGCAACTCTCATCTCAAATTGCTCAACGTTCCCAATCACATCACTTCTACATTCTCATCGAAAGCCTACATGATTCCCAAAGACAAACAAATTTAACAGTGCGGGCTTTTGTAAGCGCAATGGAACCAACGTTACTAATTCCCCTCTACTCCAATCCCTTACGTACTAAAAAAAAAGAATCATGAAATAAAAAGCCTACAATTAGTTTGGAGTCGGAAGAAAAAAAGTTAGTTACAGCAAGAAAATATAAGAGGGAAAAAATGAAAAATTATATGTAGTCTTAAAACTTTTTTTTCATGCAAAATATTCTATCTAGAATAACTTCGCTATAATCATAATAATAGCTGAACAGGTGACACATACATATGGTTCCACACCGAATTCTGTAATTAAACACTAACCACATGATTGCAATTTACAAATCCTGATTGATGAACTTTATTGGAGCAAGCACAAAATCGAAAAAAGATCTAACCTAACAAGATTATTGTGAAGAAAAACCAAGCTGTCTAACACCCAAAATTTGGTGCAGAAATGATAGAAAGGCTTATTTTGTGTTCAGAAACTCGATCAAAATGATGAACCAAAAGATTCTAGCTGAAAGCCGTTTCAGATAAACATTTATAAATAGCCCAAATATTAGTTTAGTCTATCCCCACAGTTACCACACAGTAACAACAGAGAGTTTCAGTTGCCTATCCACCATTGCTGTCAACCACAAAGCAACATCACATACATCTTCCTTGGCTAAGTAACTGAAATCATTCACCTTTTCCATTTTGGTTGGAAGCAACATAGCTGCGGATAACTTCCATGGCCAACTGATGAGCACTCTTGTTTTGAAGCTTTGCTAATTCATCCATTGCTTCGTATGTCTCCTTGTCAGCAAAAAGTTTGAGGTTGTGGCGTGCTGGTGCTACCACTGGACCCTCCCATTTCTCAACAAGTTCTTTAAGCTTCTCAAATCCCTAGAAACAGAAAATGGAGTCATTTTAGCCAAACATACCAATCTCTTTAACGACCATAATAATCATCTTAAAGATTAAAACAAGTGTTAGTAAATATGGTTCGAAAGCAAATAGAAAGTATACAGTCAAAATTCACCATTCTATTTGTGAAGTCGCCAAATGATTCTTTAGATTGACGCCGTTGCTTCCAATAATAAAACAAAGGCTCCAAAACTTTTTCAAGGTCATGAAGCTTCACCTTGTCCATGAAAGTTCGAGCTAATGATGTTTGTTTCTTGTTTCCTCCAAGCCAAAGCTGCATCAGAAGGGGGGGAAAAGTGAACATGATAGTCTTTTGAGCTTTCCTAACAACTGTAAGTGGGTTGAGCCACTGATTAACAAACCTGATAGCTATTTGGGCCATCACCAACTAGTCCAAGTTCTGCCATGTATGGTCTAGCACAACCATTAGGGCAGCCAGTTATCCTTACAACTACCGACTCATTATACTTCAGACCAACCTGAATTGCAGATAGATAATTTTATGTATCCTGATTAGTGATATCCATCAAACAAATACTTCCATATATATATATATATATATATATATAATGCAATACCTTATCAAAAACAGCACGAATCCGCTTAAGAATGTTAGGTATCCCCCGTTCAGCTTCAGTAATTGCCAGTGGACATAATGGGAAAGCAGGGCATGCCATAGCAGTTATGTTGAGGGGATCTACAAATCTAGGTTGCTGTTCACAGCAAAACAGATCATTGAAGGTTTACTAATGAAAATTTCTATACACTGAAAATCTAAAATAAATAAATAAAGAAAGAAAGAGGTGAGATTAAAAATAGTAAATAATAGAGAGGGAAAAGCAAGGACCAAACTAACATTTGAGTATGATGTCAAGCAAGAGTAGCATGGAAGAAACTAACCAATGTTCCAACAGATACAATAAGGGAAATTTCAATCACCAATTCATCATTCATACATGTCAAGCATCAATCAGAGGTGAATTGGAAAGAAAAGTTTAAGAACTTTCCTAAGTGTTGCTTATGAAAAAATAGATCCATCACAAGAGCAGCAGCTAATAAGATCTACACACACCTACATAACAATTATTATCTTTGTGGTAAGGATATCGTCTAAAATGTTGGGCTTGTATGAATATTTAGTGTGTTTCTAAATGCAACACAACGAAATTACTAAATTGGTAAATTATGATTTTTAAATGAAACTCACAATATAAGGTTGCTGAACAATGTCAAGTGTTGAGAGACAAGTTAATTAAATACTTTATCAATAAACATTATTAACACAAAACAAAGTACAATCAGTAAACATCAAGCTGTAATCAACAATTGCATATAATTAGTAAACATCTCACCAGCAGACCAGCCTGAGCAAGAGTGGTAGTAATGGGACGCTTCCATGCAGCACGAACATCAGTCAAGATAATATTCTGATTAGGTGTGATTCTTACATTCAAATTATACTTCTCAATGACCTCCCTCAATGTCTTTTTCATATTTCCACCAATACGACCATTATCAACATGAAGCCCATAAAACAATTTGCCATCACCCTGGAAGATGAAATCCAACAAATGAGCCCATATAGCATATGGGTGTGAACTATAATTTAGAAAAAAGACAATAACACCAAAGAATGATCCAATTACAGATTGCTTAACCACATATAAAGGAGATATGGCTGCAGCTCTCTCACACAGTCACATAGAAAGAATTTATATACATATCTACAGCTAAACAAGGCAAGTAAAATCTACAAAAATACCAGAACTAACTAGATAATCTTCAATCACCTAATCCGCCAGATATTTAATAGGTTTCTATGTTATGCTTAGCACAACTTTCAAGGTACAACAGAACTGAAACAACTGTACACATTACATATAACACAGAATGTATAAAGACACACTGTCACCATGTCAGCAATTAAATCCATAAATAGACATCAAAAATGTAATCCACCAACTTTCATCATGCAAAATATACATCAATGTGAATGGTGTGCAGCTGTGCATCAATGAATAAACAATATTATGGACTATAAAAGCAAGCATAAAGACATTGATATTATTCATTCATCTAGAGAACCAACCTGCTCATGCCACCCAAGATAACTTTTGAATTCCCATTCTGGCAACTCACGGAAAGGTTCAAATTTCTTGCCATAATATTGCTCAACCACACTTCTAAACTTTTCAATTCCCCAAGAGCTGATCAAATATTTCAATCTACTATACTTGCGGTCATCTCTTCTCCCATTTTCTCGTTGTGTAACAACAATTGCTTTCACTGCATATAGAATATCCTCCTTTGGTACATAACCTAAGGGTTCAGCCAAGCGAGGAAAAGTGGTTTCCAACCTATGAGTTCTTCCCATCCCACCACCAACCTGCAAAAATAATCGAAAGGTCCTGGTTAGAACAATGACAGACAAAAAAAGAAAAAAAGAAGAAAAACTCATCAACTGTTATGTAAATCCATCTTACATATATGTTGAACCCTTTAGGCTCCCCATCATCATCAGTAACAACAACAACACCAATATCATTTGTGAGAATATCCACCGAGTTATCAGTTGGCACAGTGACAGCAATCTTGAATTTCCTTGGCAAGAACTGAGTTCCATAGATGGGCTCGGGGGAATCCGGGAAGTTTGTCCCATGAGAATTGTCATTTCGTGCGCGAACCACTTCAGGTGGTTCTGATGTCAAAAACTTCTCCCCATCTACCCAAATATCGTAGTAGAAACCAGACTGCGGAGTGAGCAGCGCCGCAATGTTCTCCGCAGTCTGTTGAGCAAAGAGGTAATCTTTCCTCACAAGGGGAGCAGCAGGAGCAAGCACATTCCTGTTGAGGTCACCACAAGCACCAAGAGTTGAGCCCATGTTTCTAATAATAGTAGCCATGACAGTCTTAAGGTCCTTCTTGAGAACACCATGGAGCTGAAACGTCTGTCTGGTGGTCAAGCGAAGCGTCCCAATCCCAAACTGGTCAGCAAGGTCATCCATGGTGAGGTAAAGCTGGTTTGAAACCTTGCCACAAGGGTTCTTGGTCCGTATCATGAAGGAGTAGTTTCTGGAACCACGATCTTCTCTATTGTACTGCTGGTAGCTACCGTGAAACTTAATCAACTGAGTGGCAGCTTCACTTATGTTAGGCGCATCCGTCAACATGTCCTCATTCAGAGGATACCTTATGAAATTGCTTTGCTCTTTGAATATTTCGACTTTGCTGCGCTTCTCAGTGGCAGTTTCAGCCTTCGCAGGCTACAATGGAACCGGAAGCACAGTAAGTTATCATATAGGGATTCCAAAATTAAAGTAGAGTGTTGAAAAAAATAATAATCGGAGAAAAATGAGAAAGCAGGAAATGAAAAATAGAATTGAAATGAAGAAAGTGATGAAACCGTGGAAACGGCGCGTATGAGGGAGAGGGAGAGAGAGCGAGTGGATGGCGGAAGCGTGAGGGCATTGCGAGAGATGGAAGAGGAAGAGGCGGATGCAGAGCTCAAGCCGTGGAAGGTGGGGATCTGAAGCTTGGGCGGCGCTGAGGTGGTGGGTGGTCGAAACGGCGTCGTCATGAGGTGAAACAGAGAGTGCGATTGGGTGGCAGTGGTTGTGAGTTGTGAGTTGTGATTGTGAAGCAGTGTGAAGCGAAGCTGAAAGACAAAGTGGGTTTTGTTTCTCTTGTCACGTGCCGCCCACGAGAATGCTTTCAAAGATATATTCTCTAATCTCTATCCTATCAATGTCCCACGCGCATTCTCTAATAATAATTTTACAAAATTAACTTTATTATAATTATTTTTACTATAAACAATGTAATACAACAATTACTTTATAAATAATATAATATAATAGATGAAAAAAAGGTAAATAATATAATATTAAAAAACTATCATAAAATTTTATAACTTATTTTTTCTTCTAACATGATACTTATTATACATGGAGGGAGTACTTCTTTTATTTCATAATATAAGAAAATAAAGTAAGTATTAAAATAAATGTGATGTTAGTTTTTTATTATTATGTTAATTACTTATTTATCCATCAAAATTATAATGATGATACCATAATTCAAACATAAGATTATGTGTATTTTACTCTTAACTCGTTCACCACTGAATCAGTCATAGAGGTTACTTACATATTTTTTTGATACATTAATAATAATGTTCTTTAATAATTTGTTATGTTACATCATTTCTAATCAACAAGGTTAATGATAAGTTTAATTTTAAAATTTATTATTTTTAATCTATTTATTGATTTTTTCTAAATAAAAACTAGGATGAAGCTTATAACGGAAGAAGGACAATAATATTTTATTATTGTACCATCCTGGTCGGATTCCGACTGTACTTCTTGTTAGCGGAAGATCGCCTATGATCCGGGCTTACCTCTCCTCGTTAGGGGTTCACTCGACTAAAATCCGAGTAGGTTCCCCGGATAAGCCTGGTCGGTCGTAGACCGATGCCACTCTTCTATAAGAACACACTTGGCCAATGCCCGACTGGTCCGACTCCACTCTCCTATGAGAACATGCTCAGCCAATACTCGACCGGTCTTCTTTACATTACTCGGTCGGGCCAATTTGACCTCTCCATATACGAGCCGTCCAACGGCAAGGGCAAGACCCCACCTTTAATCACCAAATATCCTCTGAGTAAGAACAGTTAATGAAATCCCCACATTCTCGGGGCCCAGGAGGCCCACGAACTAGGAACTATAAAACCTAAAACCCTAAGGTTAAGACGGCATATTACACTTTGAATGCTCTGGCTTTGAGGCTTGACTTAAGAGGAAACCCTAGTCCACCCTTTGGCCGGAATAATTATATTAACTTCATTACTTGATTTTTGTAAATAATTAATGAAAACTACATTTTAAATAGATATAATTAAAAAAATATTAATTGAAATTTGGACTTCTAAAAGGACGATTGTTTTAAAAAAATAACTAAAAGAATTAAACATTTGGAACAAGAGAGTAGAATTTATGAATTTTATCTCTAATTTAATATTTTTTAATTAATAATAATAAATATATTTACATCACCCCTTGACATAAAAATAATGAGTTTATTATTAAAACGATGTTAATTTATTTTTATTTTAAAAATATCAATGAAAATATGTATATTAAAACTAATATTTTGATTTTTCATTTAAACTAAAATTATTAGTTTGTGTAGTATTGAAATTAATTTTTTTTAAAAGGTATTAATGTGAAGAAAAAAATGTTATAAAAGATAAACTCTATTAAAAATGATCAATTAAATAATCTTAAAAAAATCGATGAATTAATATAGTAGTTAAACATAATGTAAAGACAATCTAATTCAACAAAAAAAAAATCCTGTGTTTAATTTCTCTTATATGCAAAAATTCATCCAACCAGTGATAATATCACTAAAAAAGGAAAGAAAAAAAAACTATAATGACAAATACGGTATATTATTAAAACGATAGATACTTCAGTGTTATACAAAAATCTTCAAACACAAATAGCAAAGCACGCGCTGCTAGACATTGATAAAGCGCGTGAAGCGTAAATATCTTTCAATAAAAGTAAATATATATATAAATAATTTGACAAACATGAAGAATCGAAAAGGGTTTTGTGTTGCAGGTGTCACGCACGCGTGAACCTGGACGGAATCTAAGTCTCAACTTATCATTAACGAATAAAAAAAAACTTAATAAAAATAATAAATAATTCTTCACTAGAATATTATTGAATTTGATCACTTAAATAATGTTTAAATTTAAATAAAATACCTATTAAAATAAAGTTGCGCTAATCAAATCCAAGTTGTGAATCTATAGGAGATTAGGATTTAGGGAAGTATTATATACATAATTAGGGTAGTGGACAAAATATATAGTAATGGTGAATTAAAGTCTTAATGCATTTGTGGCCTTTAATGATGTCCCACTAATATTATAGAATACTTTACAAGCAAAAAGCTTATAAACATTTGTCAAATAATTAGTGCTCAAATACAAGAGTCCCACTAAGTCCTAATACAATTTTGGCTTTGACTGCAAAGTCCAAATCAAAAGCATTAATTTTCCTATTCACACAACGGGTTTCGATACCAATTTAGATATAAAGTCTCACTTTATTCTTAAAGAAGCTGAATTAGATTACGAGTTATACTCCTAATTAAATTATCATTAATAGTAATAATAAATACGAAAGATGCAGACTAAAAATGAAAATATGATCTTCCCCAAATTATGTTTTGTGAGATTAATGTTGTATTTTTAAAAATAAGTTAATTAAATAGTTTTTTTTAATATTTTTTATTATGTAAAAAAATATGTCATGAATTTCATGATAAAATCTATTAAAATATATTTTAAAATATTTATAAAAACCATAAAATGTTCGTTATAAATAAGTTCCCTAAAGTTTCGTTAAAATATTTCATTAAGGTGTTTGAAAAAGTATACAGATAGATGACTTTTCTTTTGTCACACAGGGTTCTAGTAATATTTTTTTCCCTGAAAATAGGTAACTTCACATTTCTGTTTCATAAGAAAACAATATTTACTATTTTTATATATTAAAATCACAACCTTTTGCAATTAAAAATTGTTTTACAATAAAATTAAAAGGATTTACATTGAAATATCATCTCAATTATGTACATGACGGACAAAATAAAATAAAATTCACACGAGACTTTTTTTTCCCCTTCCTTTAATATGTTTAACTTCTTATTACTGATAAACTTTGCAAGTGATAAGGCCCATAAGGAGTTAAACTTTGTTACTGAAATACCATTTTTACCTTATATGTATTGTGATAAAATGTGGAAATCCAACATTTTTTTATATGAAATTCAAATTTAAAATACAACTACTAACACTATAGATAAAAAATATAATATATGTTAAAGTGTCACTTAATTTTCTTTTATTTACTCAATAAACTCAAATGCATAATTATAAATAATATTGTTAGCGTGGAGATGATTTAATAAGAAGGGAAATGGAATAAAGTGAATTTGAAAAAAAAATTGTATTTGATGAAATGATATTTAGAAAAATTATGAAAAATTAAAAATGAGTTTCACACTATTTTTAATACTCCCACCACCGAAGGGATTCTTGTGTAATTTATAAAACATGTAAAATTATAATAATTTAAAAAATAATAATTCAAAGTACATTATAAAAAAAAGGTTAAATAGTATTTATAAATATCAATTTCACTTTATTTCACATATAATTGTACTCTATCAAACAATCATAGATTCTATTCTATTTCACTATATTTCTCAACTATTTTTTTATTAAATCAATTCTCATTTATCCTCTCTCATTTTCTTCTATCTTTCTCCTTTCTCCAAATAAAACATTAGTGTTGTTGTTTAGAGTAATAAGTGTTGGTGTTTTTTTTTAAATGTTTATAAGTGTCATATAATCAATATTTAATTATATAATAAATATTAAGTGTTATGTAATTAATATTTAATTCTTTCTGTTTGTTGACCATAATTAAATTAAAATTAAAACATATAATAACTATGTAGCATTAATTCTTAATTTGGTTAAATAATTTGGTTCTTATACTTACAATTACTATTAATTTGGTCTTATCATCATACATCATATGTAGTTCGTTAATTTCCTTAAACAATTTTAATTTAGTCATTATAAATGTAATTCGTTCCTAATTTTGTACATCGGCAAAGTCACATTTAGTTCTTTTGTTCAAGAAAAAGAGGGAACTTCTACGATGAAAAAACAATTAACTTATTATTATGTTGTCAATTGTGCTTATTTGTTTATAAAAAGTTTTTTATTTATACGCCAAGATGCAATCCCTCAGTATATATGAATTCTCACTAACATTTACACTAAACATTAAATTTCCCCTAGCATTAACACTCAACTAAAAAATACTTCACTATTCATCACAACGGTTTTGAAAGCTTAAAAATACTAAAATTTTACTTTAAAAAAATGAAAAAGACACCGAATCTTGTTTAAATAAAAATAAATGCAAAAATTACATTTAAAATGATAAAATGGGCTTTGTTAACATTTAAGCCCAAAAAGCTAATTAAACTCAATCCAATATTTGTCTTTGATTATATGAATTTGGGCCTTATCTTTTTGTCCTTTAAGTTGGACTCAAATTTCCATCCACTTTTGTCCTTTGATGCAACATCGTCTAGACTTTTCTTGATTTTCACAATTAGGCCTTGCATAGTTTGTTTATTTTAGTTTTAGACCTATGCAAGGAACATCGAATATCACAAAATGGGCCTTTGAGTTTGATAATCAGATCTCTTTAATTCTTATTATTTTTAAATATATTTTTTAATTTCTTATCTATTTTAATTTATTCTTATCATCTTATCTTATTTCTTATAATATAATTTATATACTATAAAAATAAAAATAAAAATAAAAAATTAGAGGTATAAATTGCGAAATAGTACTAGGTGAAGAAATCCCTTATATAAAGCAACTGAGTGGGTTGTGCATTGTCTTGTTGGTAAAGAAAGAGAGAAGAGAAGAGAAGAGAAGATCGAAGAAGAAGAAGAAGAAGAAGAAGAAGATGGAGGATGCATCGGCTTCGAAGTTCATCCCGCACCAAATCGGAGGTGTCCAAAACGACGCGCTTCGATTCGGTCTCCATGGAGTCAAGAGCGACATCGTTGGTTCTCACCCTCTCCAATCTTCCCTCCAATCTGTAATCTCTCTAAACCCTATCTCTCGCTTTTAATCTTCTCTGCGTTTTTTTTTACTACTCTTTGCTTCTGGAACCGCTTTATCCCATTCACCCGTCACCATTTCCCCTTTTAAATTAGGGTTCATTTTGAAAAGAAAACCCTCTAAATGAAAATAATTTAAATTCTTATCCACTCTAGCAGGTTTATAGCTTCGGTGTATTTAATTATACTCTGCATTTGTTTTTCTTGTGTTTCTCATGTGTAGACAAGGAGAATGGAAGAAGCGATGAAGAGGCAATGCAAAGTCAACTTGTATGGAACTGCTTTTCCTCTCAAGGAGGAACTTGACAGGCAAATATTGTCACGGTACGAGAATTTGGATTCCAATTATCTATTGTACTCTACTTTCTTTATGTGTTTCGGAAGCTAAATCTATTTTGGTGATAAAATGACATTAGACTTTGTCTGTGTTAGTTGTTAAATTTAATTCTCTATAGCTGGATTTGAAGGCTCAAATCCTATTCACCACTTATACGGGGCATGAGAAAATGACCCAGGAATATGATCTATAAAATTGTATGTTCCATGAATATTAAAAACAACTATGAAAATGTGAATGACATTTTGATTAGTGATTAATTAACATTGCCATGTTGATTAGTCCCTATGGTTAGGTGGGCAGAACTTGGAACTGATGGCAGATCCTTTTTTTTTTTTTAATATAAAAATGAAAAAGAAATTGTTTAAATATGTTTTTTTTAGGAAGGGTGAAAGGCATTTGAATTTGATGTAATGCCACTGTTTCTTGTAGATTCCAGCGGCCTCCTGGGCCAATTCCATCTTCGATGCTGGGTTTGGAGACTGTCACGGGAAGTCTTGATCACTTCGGTTTTGAGGATTGTCTGAATGGTAATATGATTTGCCTTTCTTTATTGTGCTTTTGGAAGTGTTTATTGAAACATTTGGTTTCTGCTTAAGTAGTGGTTCCTGCATGATATATTGAAATTGATCTTCATTAACATTGAATCTTAAAATTATTATTGTTAAGTTTTACAGTTTTTATGCTTCAATTTCTGAATTGAAATGAAATATTATAACTATGCTACATTAACATTGGGAAAGAAATCCATGAAATGGTATGACTGGATTCTGTCTATGTTTTCAATTGTTTTTCCAATCAAGTAAACTTTTAGACATCTTGGACCTTTTCTTTTCTCTAGGATATGAAATGAACTTGTGTTCCACACCTTGAAATGATATGTTCAACTGTTTATCCATCACTATAACTGAATAAGTTGTTTTGGGGTGGCATATACAATCTAGTACCTTTTTCCGTTTAGTGTTGATTGTAGCCTTGTAGATCAATGTGAAAAGCTTTTGTTATGATATTGATTAATGGGTACCTGTATTCCTTTTGTTTTGAGATGATTATAACTGTTTCTGAGACTTGCATGGTTTGGGGATCTGAAGAGGAATATATACTATAAAAATCTTCGAAGCTTATTCAGACATATTGAGAATCTGTGTTGTCATTGAAACTTTGTGGTATGTGTTAAGATTTATACTTTAATCAGACATTGAACCATCATTCATGGTTCAAGGGTGACAGGAGTAATCTATACTTAATTTTTCAAAGCTGATTCAGACTTGTTGAGAATCTGCTGCTTAATCTGAGCCATGTTTTAAGATTTGATGAGCGTAATACTTGAAACATAGGTACTGGAAGATAGATGTGTAGTTTCTATCCACTAGTTATAATATTATAAGCCACATCATTTTATGATTTTAATCAGCAAAATAGACATAGCCTACTCAAACTTGTGTTTCTTGTTAAAGCTTTCTTCTATTGAAGTGATGTTATGATAGTGAATTTGGTATCCATGATAATTGAGGAATGCAATCTTAGCTATTACTTATTTTTGTGGTTGATTGGCATTATGGCACATTTTTGTTCGTACTTTTTATCTATCTCAATGCCATTGATGTTGTTTGCAGACCCCCGTGAATCAGAGACATTCCGGCCATTGGATATGCATCATGGGATGGAAGTTCGCCTTGGTCTATCTAAGGGACCAGTGTACCCAAGTATTATATAATTAAATTTGATTGTTATTTTAGTACCAAAATACAGTACGAAGCTTATTGTTTTTCATTAAAAAGAAAGAGTCCAAGGAACTTGCATATTTAATTGTGAACTTGTGTTTTCGTATGCTTCGGATGCTAGAAATGTTATGGTCCATATAAACAGCAGAATTTATGCATGATGCATATTTGAGGTGAGCATCTGTTGTCACGCGTAGCAAATCTCCCATTATTTTTAACTCTACGATACTGTCTACGATTGTTATGTTCGCCCCTTTCAATAATCAGTAATCGATATGAAGGCAGTTAATTTAGTTTGCATGGTATGGTTGACGAATATGATATATATGTCACTCTGTATGCAAGTACGAAGTCTCAAGTTAGACAGTGATACATGCCTAATGTAGATTGCTATATCCTTGTAGTTTTCTTGCATCGGATCTCTGCTCATTTTGTGCAAATTTCCCGCATCATTAGGGGTTAGTTCTAAAAGACCAAGCTACAAATCCAAAAATAGAGAACAAAGTTAGCATTGTATCTCAAGTCTATACGTTAATACGTTTTAGTTCAACATAAGCAACTACTTCCACGGTTCCTGTCCATTACACCAATTCATACCTCGGTTTTAAAACCTCATATATGATAACCTCCAGGCTGAGCTTGCAATCTGCCAAGCATGCTTCTCTTCGCGCACTAATTAGTCATCTAACATTCCACAATAACTAACTCTCATCTAGACCCATACCTTCATTTTCTCAAGATTTTTAAAATGCCTTTCAAAAATTTGGATAATGTCTCGAGGCATTGTTTATATTTCTCTTTATGGCCAACTTATCTTCAATTGGTAGTTTCTTGCAAAATCTTCTCTAGAGAGAAGTCTATGGAGCTGCCATGTATTCAATGCAGGTCTTCTATATCAGCAAGTAGTCCAATTCGCTGATAGAATGTTTCAATGGTTAGATGTGGAAAGATGTTCGCATTTTATCTTTGGATAAAATTTGTGTACAATTTCTTGGGAGTGTTAAGTGTTACTTTTAAATCAAAATTGAACTTCAATTTCGGTAATCAGTATTCACTCTAAATTTCAATCTTTTTTAAGACGGTTAATCACAATAAAAGTTTATTTTAATTAAAAAATAACCCCAAAAATACCTTAAACAAATACACTTGAGTTTTATATTTCTCGCTGAAGGTTAGACGTACTAACATCTGTATCTTAACTCTCTTCAATCTCTCGAGCACTGCCAGTGCCATCTACCTATTTATGTTTGCAAACATGTGGTAATCACAAATAATTATTACATATTCTGAAAGGGTTATAAGGGGGGATATACTAGAGGTAGAGCGTTAGACAACCCAGAATCCATTTATTTTTATTGGTTACTAAAATATTTATTTTGATATTTGTTTAATGTTTTTAAAATTCTATAATATCACACCTAATGGTCATTATTGGCGGACAATTGGTGGTCCAAGACCACTCATATTCCCCGTATGATAGCAATAATGCATCGATATAGAAACATGGTATAAAAAAATTGGACCCCTTTCAAATTATTGAATAACATGTTATGGATATATTCAAAAGAGAGAGACCTTTTTAATCAAGGGAACATCATAATTAGTCATAAGAATTGTTAATTATATATGATAAAATAATTATTCAACATAACCATATCATGCTATTTAATAATGAGAGGATATGTCAAGTTAAATTTCTAATGTGAAACACAAAATTTCAAATTTGATAGATTATAAGTTTGAGTTCTTTTTTTATCTTACTAAGGCTAAGTGTACAAGAAGCATATTTCTGTAAATCTCATTTTAAAATAATTGAAGTTAAATATAAAAACCTTAGTAATAAGTACGAATGATTTTATGTGATTAATGAAAAAGTGTAATAAAAATTAAATAAAAAAATGCTTGGAAAATTATAAGAATAAGAAGGTTAATAAAAAGTGCAATAAGGTATATCATCTTTGTTAATAGTATAGATAAAATAAATATGTTTTTTACAAGTTTTTTGAATTTAGAGATTTTTTTTTTTTGTCTTAAGTTGAGTTATGAACTTGTCTCACCAGAATTCTTGTTATAAAAAAGTTATATTAGGATATATAAAATAAATATTTAATTAAAAAAGTGCGAATTTCTTAAAACTTATAAATATTTATATTTAAAACATTTAGTGTAATTGTAAAAATATTACATTTATGAAGGTTTTATAACAAATTTTTATTTATTTATTTTTTACTGATTGACATCAAATTTGTGGATTTTATAACTGTTTTTCTTTTGTTGAATTATAACTGTTCATTTTTAATAATCATTTAAAGTTCTTACACTCAAACAAAAAAATGCAATGATTTTTTTTTTATTTTCTATGAAATAGTTTTCAAACTTTCTATTATACCTCTTTTCTTTTCTTTTCTTTTATTTTCTTTTCTTTTTTCTCGATAATAAATGTATATTAACTTTAAATGTGTAAGTTAAATAAAAATTAGGTATGAAATTAGAGTATAATTGACCAAAAAATATAGAGTAAATAAAGTGAGTATGAATTAAGTGTTTTGTTTTCGTAATTTAGTTTAAAGAAATTGAGGTAGCTCAAAGTATATAATTAAAAAAAAAACATTAAAAAGGGACTCTGACCGAAAGTATGATGAGCACATTTGTTTTTTTTTTTTTTCTTTCAACATCTTGACTCATCTTGGAATTCAAGACGACCGCGTCATTATTTTTTTATATTTATCAATATATCATAAAAAAAAAAGAAGCTTTTATAGAAAAACGTTTTGGGGTTACTGAAATAATTAATTAGCAAGAACTCTCTCTCTCTCTCTGTGAATATATACTAGGAAGGTTCAAACGACACCGGTATAACTTTTACTAAGTGTTACACCGTTCAATAATTTTATATTAATTAATCCAACCGTTAGATTGAAAGTTCATATCTTTTAGATCATATATGTCAAATTTTGTTAAAATTGAACAATAACTTGAAGGTAATCAAAGTGTTCATATTTTAGTATATTTTGAAATATATATATTACGTCAATTTTGTTTTATGAGAATGAAGTATCAAATCATCTTAGATTAATATAAAATTTGACATATATGATCTAAGAGATATGAACTTTCAATCTAACGGTTGGATTTACAAAATTCACAATTAATATAAAGTTATTGAGCGGTGTAACACTTAGTAAAAGTTACACCGGTGTCGTTTGAACCCTCCTCGATATATATATATATATATATATATATATATATCACATAA